TATTCCTTGATTCGCCGATTTTTGATCAATTCGTTGGAGAAGAAAGATTCAAAAAATCAAAGAGTATTTCGACAGTGAAACAAGTGAGCAACCCGAAGAGAAAAATAATTTTTATTTTGTTAAACTTTTTCGATTAATCTCCATAATAATGGTATAAAAAATTATATATGATTATTTTGATTAAATAATTATGCTCATCAGTTTCAACATTCCAATAAATATCATTTAATTAAAATAATCGATTATGCAATTATTAAATATATGAATTAGAAGTTTATCTAATAAAATGCAAATTATATCTTTTTCAAATCATTCATTTGTCACTTTGTGCGACAAGGGAATTAAAGAGTCACGAATCATCGATGGTTACAAATATGTGTGATGGTTAAAAATAATTTCCCATGAAAAAAAAAATCACTTTAATTACGATGAATCTAATAAGGGATGTAAAACGATGTCGAGCGACCAGTACAATTTATCTTTGACGTTTATCGTACTACTGTGTGTAAAACGGCGCAATCAGAAAAACGTAGTAAAACAAAATTGACCAAGAACGCGGAACACATTCGTAATATATTCCAAACCATCGAGAAGCAGCTGCATTTGTCGACAAATCGTAAATCGCTTTGTTCGCCTGTTCACGCAGACCGATATTTTCGCTGTCATCCATTAGCGGAAAAGGCAAAGTGCGAAGTGGTTAATGGGCGGCCATGTACGGGCGCAGACGGCCGTGGATTTTCTGTTCTGTTCCCCTTTTTTCGTTTCGTCGCCACCCCCACCCTATCTCGCGCGATATGCGTTTCGGGGATTACGCTTTTAAGGGATCGCGCTTTTGAGCTTAGAAGGATTTTTATTTTTAATTCTAGCCCGCGAGGCAGTCGATGATTAAAAAAAAAAAAAGGAATCAGGCGAAGGTAGGCATCGAACGTCTCCATATAGGGTGCTAACCGAAGCCGATGGAAGGCCTTTTAGATCCTAACCTGGGCCACTCGAAACTCTTACGGGGTGGCCTTAACCTCGCGATGAATTTGGGAGAGTCGAAGGTTTACGTGTTTGTTCTAGTTTCAACGATTCGTAATAGCTGCATGCGCGAGAAATGACGAATAAAACTTCCGATTCTTTTAATGAATTATATATTTAATATTTAATGCAAACGATATAATAATATTGCATTTTTAACGGCAAATATTTATTATTCGATGCTGAAAATAGAAAGAGAAATCGTCAAAGTTAGGAAAATATATTTCGGCAGAAGGATTTTTTTAAATATAATTCTTTCCCCATATTTTTTCATTTCTTCTCACAAAAAAAAAAAAAAAAAAAAAAAAAAAAAAAATAATTTTTTTTTTTTTTTTATTGACTCAGACCTCTCCTCTCAGGTGGTTGTAACCTAAAAAGAGTATATTTATTCTGCTGTAATGTGATGTTCTTGAAGAATTGTATTAACTTCACCTCGCAATATCTCAAAAATTTTACAATATTTAAAAGAATCCAAAAAAAACAGATAGATCATTTTTCTTATTCTGTATTTTATATATTACATATAAACCATGATACATATGATGCGACTAACGAAGAAAACTTTATCGAAATATCGAATTGATTGTATATTTATTGTATCAATAATATTCTTGGCATTAAACTTTGCTATTCCGCGAATTTTATGAGATACGATTTACGCAATCGCGGTAATGATTGATGTACAGCAGTCGCGTACCGGGAACAGCTGATGCACTTGGCTGTGCAACAGGTGGTTCTACGTGCTGGGCAACACGTGGTTTCACGTGCTGTGCAACAGGCGGTCCCACGTGATCGAGGCTCGACAATGGCGCGCAAAAAAAAAGCCCCCTCGTCGGGGATGAACCGACCATGATTTACGGATGTAAATGTCTCTCGCTAGCGCGGCGATAATCGACGACCGACTATGTATTCGAAACCGGCGGCGTTCTCGTTCTCGTTGAAAGTACCGTCACGTTTCTCACCGCGTGAAAGCACGGCGATGATGGCATAACGCGATCGTCCTTGCCCGGAGCGAAATGAAATGCGCGCGCGAACGTGCTAGATCTCGTTATATTTTTTTTTGTCGTGAGCGCGCGCGCACGCACACGTGGCACAATGCGGAGAAACCGGGCGTGCAAACGCGTTCGTCCAGAAGATTTGCATTGACGATCGTCGCGTCCTGTCCGATGTTTACGTCCTTCGGACGCGTAGCTGGCTCTGCATATTGAGCGATTTCGGTGACTGAACCGCGCTCGGGTCTTATCGTAAGGAGATCGAAAACGAAGCGAACGTGTGCGAGACACGACAAAATTTCTCCCGATTTTACAAATAATAGTGATAATAAAACCATTTCGCAAAATTCATAAATCGATTCCACGTTGACAGTTGCATATTCGAAAGTAGCTTCGCCTAGAGACGATCTTTTTCTCATTTCGTAGAGTCCAATTTAAATTTACGATGATCATGAATTATCATATAAGCGAAAGCAGAGACGATACAAATCGAACAAGAGAAAAAAAAACTTATTAATTTGACTAAATTCGTCCAACTAATTACTATTTCTTTGTATTTTTTAAATTGAAATATTTAAATATTTAAGTCAAATATGATATATTAAATCTAACATGAGGTATATTTGACTTAAATATTTCAATTAAAGAAATACAAAGAAATAGTAATTAGTTGGACGAATTTAGTCAAGTTAACAACTTTTTTTTCTCAGTGAAGGATTCTTCATAATCGCGGTAAGATCGCGCGGGAGGAGTCCTCGTGATTGCCATAATTGTATGTTATTAGACGTCGATGCTGAGCGAGTAATTGACACGAAGATTGACATGCAAACGGGCCTCGATCAACACGCAAGGCAAAATTATTGATTGTTGATTTTCTCTCGCCTGGTCGGTATTATTAATATCATTTAGCGATAAATATGATTATGCTCAATGCTAATAACAGAGAAATTCAGTTTGGATTGTATTTTCGAAAAATTGTTAATGTTATCAAAAGTGAATATATCTCGGCAAGAGTAACTAAAGTGTTCCGATTCAAATCCCACATTCACTAGAGGGCTGAGTCGCGAATTCACATTTCAAAGAGAAACTTGACCAACCGTCCTTGTCATATCGCAAAAATAAAATATCATTTTATTTGCCGCGCAAAATTCTTCTCTTTTAATTCTTATCCTTCGCTCTTTCACGACTTTTAATTATCGGCGATGAGAATTGATCTATGAAACATCCTAGCTAAAAAACAATTGTGTTTCGCAAATAAAATTTGATTATATCAATGTCGCTCAATGTTGACCTTTTATTTCTTACTTTGAAAAGACGCCTGTAAAACGTCAAATCTTGTTAATGAAGCACGTTTTATTGCGTTTATCTGGTTTTCTGTTGCCCGAAGGCAACACGATTCGATAGAGGATTAAGCTTGGTTTGACTTTTCCTTCTCCACTTCTGTTATATATATAGTTAAGGCTATAATATAATATAATATGATACATGGAGACGCGGACAGGCAATTATACTATTCGGAGTTGATTCTCTCAGACCGTCGATAGGGCGTAGCATTAAGCTGCTAGCGTTTTTTTCCGTCACATTTGCATTCCGCTCACATATCTCGATTCGACGAACTAAAAGCGAAATAAAGATGACGATATTAAACTGATATTTTCAACGATATCCTCGATTCCTCTAGGCCTCGCGATCGAGAGCACGATTATCGCGCGTTCGCTCTGTTTCTAAATGCCACATTTGTTTACCGAGTAACAGGGCTGGCTTTAGCAAACGCGATTTCTGGAATGGACATATGTATGAGTGTATATGTAACTTAAGATATCTAAGAAATACATGTTTACTTGATATTAAAAATATAAAATAATATCTATATGTTACTTAATATAATATATGTGTTATTTTGATTCTTAATAATAAAAGCAAAATAATATCGACATATATTAATCACATATTGTAATATAACAAATGTTACAAATATAACGAGCGATCTAATGATAAAACAAATGCCAGTATCATTAATGCTGCATTAATTATAGAAAATATGTTATTATGTTTAAAATATAAATATATATTAGTTTGATATATTTTTTAAATAAAACAAACCAAATGATAATGAAACAATGATGAATATAGAATGCGGTGTGATGTGAAAATTATTTTAGCGCGGTTTCTTGCATATCTAAACGGATATTAACAATACTTTATTACGCATTATATATTTAAAGTCAACGAATATTTATATTCAATGCGCAAGTTATTGAGCAGAAATCGGTTCGATCGATCTAAAGTCGCGATCTTGTCTGCAGATCAAACGGAATGCCAAACACTGTACTAGCGGCACTAATCGCTTATCGCTTAGGGAGACCGCACCTGTGGCGCAGATATTTCACGATACCTCACCCAATAACTATCCTCACGCGAGAAAAATACGAAGATCTCGAACGTGAACACGGGAGAGACATCACCTGTTCGGATAAAAGGCATTGAAGTCTCTACGCGGTCGGAGAATATAGATTTCTATTTTTACTCATCCGACACAAATATCATATATATTTATTATCGTATCTCGCATATATAATGATATTTCGCGCAATGTAATCATAGACTGAGAATATTTAATTTTTTAAATATACAAATACTTAGTTAATTATAATCTTTGATCAAACACGATCGAACATAATGGTTTAAATAATTTATTTTTTATATAAACTTTTGGGAACCAAACATGTTTGCGCGAGATTGTATTTATATAAGTTAATTAGAGAATATACGTTGCGATATATAAATAAATGATTAATCTACATCGTTTTTAAGCAGTTAATTAAGATTGTTGCTTTTCTAATATTCGTCTTTTTTCGAGTCCGGAAAATTTCTCAGTTTTTGAAATTGTTTCAAAGCCCTGGACAAAGTGCGTTCACGAATAGTGAATGAAAAAACGGTCTTGCTCCATCAAAAGACGAGCGCCGACACGAACGGAATCGTTCTCACCTGCGTCGTCTTCTCATCGGACCAGCGCGACGACTCCTGGATCGATGGCGCACCGATGGCTTATCCTGACATCCCAAGCGATCGAAGCGGCACGCGCGCACGCACTTTTTTCTCCGAGCAGCGATTCGCGGAAACTGCGTTTCAGGTGCCCGCAACGACGTGATCGCACGCGCGATTCGTCTCGCGCGCGTGCGCGATAGATCCCCCTCCGTGATCATTTAATCGGCCTCCGACCCCCGACTTCGATCGCTCCCCCCACGCGCGATCGAGTCCTTTCTTTCCACTCCCATAGAGCCTCTTTCCCGTCTTCGTGACCATCATCGGTGCTCTTACAATCGAGACCTTTCCATTGACGCATACACAGCGTCGGGGAATATTGATAGTACAAACGGAGATATAAAGGATGGATGTGGAGAGATATAAAAGCGGATGCGGAAACGAGAAATAATTCTCCGCATGTATATATATAAATAAAGTTGTATTATCATACTTACGGAATATACACGAATCACTGACCACTCTGTTGACAATGTTGATTAGTGAACTAAATTAATGCATTATTTGTGTGACAGTTTAAGTTTCGGTCTGATTCGGATTGATCAATCGGATTAAAAATCACAAAATTAGAAACGTTGATGAAAGTTTGACGGCTGGGTCGGCTGAGCCGTTGAATAAACCATTCCCTGTGGTTGCTGATGGGTCATCGCGTGGCTCTGATGCTGATGGAATTCCGGAGCACCGTGCGGCCCGTTTAGTCTCACCCGTTTCGCGTTCTGCCCATGATTGTGATCGCCGTTACCTTGCTGCTGTTGATTCTGCTGTTGCTGTTTGACAAATACTCGGATGAGCGACAAAGCAATGTAAAAATTCAGTTTAATCCTCAACTACCATATAGCGATGGAGCTTAAAGAACGGCAAAGTAGGCTTTACTCGCCTTGCCATTGCAGGGCCGTTTAAAAAATCGAAACCACATTTTTATAAAATTTGAAAATAATATAACTAAATATGTAAGAAAATATATATA